CGTACGACACGCCAGTTTATACCGCATTCATCGATTCAACGTGACTTCATTGTAAGCACCACGGGGGCCTACAATGACGTCGAAATCGTCGCGGAACCAATGTATCCCACCGCGTTCCCGTGAAAAAGTTGCACGCCGCGTGCTGATCGTGCCAGCCGAGTTGCATGGGAATAGCAACCGAGCTCGGTTGTATCAACTTGAATGTAAAGTTTTCTCGTTTTTATTTTTCTTTGTTGTTAGATACGATGGTAATAAGGCGTATGAATTGAATCATCAGCATCTATTGCTATTGGCTGCCCAAAAATATTATTGATGCATCATGTATACCAAAATTTATAACTACTGTCTATAACTTATAACGTAACTCTGTTAGCAACGACTATCGGCAACAGACGAGATGAAAATTTTGTGGAACACAGCTGTTGTTAATAAACGATTTTAATATTTTAAATGGTAAAATTAATATCGCAATATAATTTAAAACACGGTGAAAAGCCTTAACACGTTGACTTCCACAGTGGAAAAGGCAGTACCTAGCCAGACACACTTTATTTCGTATTTTAAGTCATAAATCTTTGAAAATATATGCGATTGATTAATAGAGATTGCTCGTCTTGTTTTAAATTATACTGTGATATTAATCTTATGTCAAAATTTTTTAGAGGTATTTAAATGATCCAGCATGTTTGCAATGTTTCAACTACGAGTTATCTCGTAGCTGGCAGTCAACGTGTTAAAAAATTAAATTAAATGTGTCCGACTACGTATGGCCTTTTCCACTGTGACAGCCAACAGCCTCAGTTTCCCAGCTTAGTTTGTGCCTCTCGGTGTCAAATCGACATAGTGGGTAAAGAATTAATGTAACGAAGAGATAAACAGTGAAATTCTCAAATTTTTCCGGCATTTTTCTGAATCCAAGATGACGGAAAAACCTGCAAGTTTGTATCAATCGTGCAAATAGGCCTCTGGAAGGATCACATGAATGCTTCTGCAATCGATCGATCGATCGACAGATCTAGATGGTCAATGGTCAGGGACGCGCGAAGTTCGAGACGGAGAGTCGGGCATGACTGACGGCAAGTTAATGAGGATCCGTCATGATGTAAAGACACGCCGGTGACTCACGCCGCAGGAAGTCTACCCGGCCGCCGCGAACCGAGAGACCGGATGTCTTCCGTTCTTTAAATTGGCACGAGGTGAAACGGTGTCAGTGACATCAGCGACACCGCCGCCACGTCCTCTTGCGCTGCGTTAAATTTTAGCGGCCGCGGAACAATCAACGACGCGACGAAAACTCAGGACTAGGGTAGAAATCCCAATTACTGCCACCTTAAGATGGTAGCGTAACTTTATTTAATCATTTATGGGTTGTTTAAGGGAAAAATCATCTTAGTTTGCAACATAATATTATTTAACATTTTTTTCTCCAAAATCAAATAGTTTTATACTTTAGAAAACAACAAATATTCCTTTAAATCGTAACTCCGAAATTTTTAACGTTTTCTTTCTTCATGGTTGTATCTCCAAATACTAACGACAATTAAAAATTTATGTCGATAATAAGATAAAATTTTGTTAAAAATTGTATTATATTGTCTCTGATTATTTCACTACTTTCTGCTTCTATAATATATTCTTAAACTTCGTAAACTTTAAACTCAATTTTCTCAGTTTAAAACTAGTGGAGATAAAACAATTACTGTTAATAACTTCGTTTTTATGTAATTCCAAATTAATAGTAAAATTTTTCCTAAACAATTCTTTATATGTTACGTTTTTATTAAGTAAAATAAATAATGTGGTAGTAATTGTAACATTTACCCTACCCAATTTATTATGTTGGACTTGGTTGAGTAATGTCGCTTAACAATCTCGTAATAGAGCCTAATAGAGTCACGACACGCGAGAGTCGGATTTCGAAGCTTTTTTAACCCACGTTTCGTAAATCAATCGTCGCCTTGAATTCGCGTGGGCGCCAAGACAACCGGTCGACGATCACCTGAACAATGTGTTTTTACCGTCACCGATTACCCGGTTTCGTGAGACAAATTCGATCGGTCATAGTTCCCCCCAACGCCCTTCAATTCACGCGTTCAGCACGTAACTCGCGCGAGATCCGATCGGCCGATTATCACGTGCGTGCGTAAAGGAAGAATATGCAGAAAACAATCTAGTGTCATGATAAATTTTAAATTTTAAAGGACGGAACGAGATCGGCGGAACAGCGTTATACGCGCCAGGAAAACGCGGACGCACCGCGATGAATCACCGCCGAAGGAAGTCCTTTGAGCTCTGTTTTTTTCCCTCCTCTCCCCCTTCTTTGGTTCCGTGATTTTTTCATCGAACAGCCGCGGCGAACTGGCACAAGGTGAAACGACGGGAATTAAACGACCGTACGAGCAAAAAAAAAAAAATGAAACATAACGGAACAATATTGCTCGGCACGGATCGCGTGTGTGTCCCCCTACGATGTGTATACACGGATCCATGTTTTTCTACCCATTCACGATCGGTACCAGGGCGGTTACGACGTCGGAGAAAAGTTTCGATCGTTTTCTCGAGATCGCCGCAGCGCGATAATGAAATATGATGAACGACTCCTCCTTAATTGAATAGTGAGAAAGTTACCATTATTGTTCTGTTTAAGAACACACCTGTAACACTACTGTTCTTCTCGACTCGTGTCCACGGAGAAATTGAAACTGAACGAGGTATTATTGGACATGTTTCAAGATCAAGATGAGTGTTTAGCTGTAGGAAGGATTCGTGTTGGGAGAGTTGCCTGACAATAAACTCGCTTAAGTAAAAAATAATAAGACATTGCATCGATGTTATATAAACTTTTGCCTTTAATTTAGGCAAAAAGGAAAGGGAAAGATTTATATATTATTGTATGGAATATCTTATTATTTTTAATAAGACATTAGATAGAAGTATGCATATATACATTAAAATTATATACATATATATGTATAAATTTAAGCCTTCTAATTCTACGTTTATCTCGAGAAATTTGGAAAATTATGGGTAGCCCTAAGTTTTTGGCCAGGAATTATAGAAATTAGTGTTATTCCGTTAACAGTAACTGTATAGATCACCGAGGTTAATCGATCGAAAATCATTCATATCCGTTCTTTAAAATGAACTTGAATATTTTACAGACTCTACAATAATCAAGCAACTTTTCCACCAACGAAACGAAATTCCTCTTCTGTAAAAAGAACCTAAACTTGTTCGACGAAAAGTTTGTCCAACATCCAGAATAATACTGAAATATCTCTAATACTGAAATGTATCACTGAATTCCAACCAACTGGATAGAAACAACAGAGGAAAAGTCCTCCTCACCCCTCAGTTGGAGAAGAAAATTTCCAGTTCTCTTTCCGAAAACACTCCAGTTTTCTTCAGACGGAACTGTAACGCTATATTATAGGAATCGTCTGGGATCGACCTGTGTCTTGGTACGCAGCCAAAGGAGCGGGATTTACCTCGTTGATTCCTTCCAGGCTCCCGCAATTCGATTGCGACCGTAATTGCCGTGGCTTTCGTGCCAAATTTACGGGCCAGCTCCGTTTTTCGCGAAACCGGGGCGTCACGGAAGGTTTAGGACTGATGTATGTGAACCCTGGCACGTTTGGAAGGAACCGATGCAATATTCAACGGCCGCCCCGATCCTCACGCGATCACAATATTTCGCATGATAGGTTATGGGGCGATGCTAATGTGACGGCTATGTAATAAAGCAATTTTTGGGAATTTTTTAAAGAAAAACTATTTAACTTATCAATTTGTATATGTGTGGCTATAGCCCGTACCAGAATAATTTAAAAAATTTGAGAAATAAAAAAATGCCTTCCCAAACAGAAGGTTTAATTTATTTGCATAAAAATGGCTGGTTTTTTAACCCGCAACACTTATGAAAACTTATGCAAACGCGGACCTTTATGCAAAATAATGTTTCTCGAAGCGATTCATAAAGGCAGTTGTGAAGGTTGGATTTTCTTCAGTGTCTTATAGATTTTATCATGATTAAGACAGAAAATATATTAGATCCAACGTTAAATTTACCATTTAAAATCTCCTCTCACAACGATCCAGGTTTCTCAAATTTTCAAGAACGACGCAGAAACACCCGTCACTGTCGAGACACACCAATTATACACACACGTTCCGAATGACCATCCCGCGTGTGTCGGTTCGTTCCTCATTTCCTGCGGCTCATACTGTGCGTCACGTTTCACTTTATTGTATCAACAACTACCGTGTCTGGTCGCCTAATTGATTTACACCCTCCCCTTCCCTTGGTCATCAGCGGCCTCGAGGATTCTCATCCACGAAAATCCACGTGGCCGCTGGGGATACGTCCCGAGAAAGGGCCGCAGAGGTGAAAGTGGGCGGGAGACAAGACGTGTTGTCAGAAAGAATTATGTTAGGAGGGAACGCTTGATTGCATCAAGCTTTGGATCACAAATTGGCGAAAGAAGTTTCTCCCTCGTAGAGACAGCTTCTTCTGGCCTGGGTCGTCATTTTGTCGGAATTTCGCCGTCGAGTTTCACACATTTGATATAGACAGTCGAATCCGAAAAAAAAAAAAGAAGGCATCGAGAAAGACTAATTTTTATACAGTGTGTTAACAAAAATATATGACACTTTCATAGAGTGGATTCTACACACTGAACATTAAATATTTCACAATCTAATGCTGTCTGAAACAAATATCATTACTTCAGAATTCCTCGTTCTCTAGATTTCTATCACTGTGGTAAACCTCATTAAAAAGTTAGTGTTACCTACACCTGGAGGTCTCTCCTAGCCTTCGAACAGTCATCGAGGATTTACTGAACACCACATTCAGAATGAACAACTCGAACGAGAACAACAGAAGGGAAAGTAGATGACGCCAGAAATGTAACGTATTCTCTTGTTCTTTCCAGGACCCGTGATGCCACCGACGTCGCCGCCCCCGACTCGTCGGAATCGTTAGCAGCAGGCCGAAAAAAATGGCCTCGATCTTGGGAGACGGAACGGGCCCCGGGGGCACGGGACCCTCCCGATGCCTTTTGCTTCTACAAAGGTCCCTGGCGATTCAGCTGACCAGGGGCCCGCCCCCTCAAGTTCTGAACGCCAGCCAACGGGAGAGCCCCAAGGAGCATCCGGCAGACGAGATGTGGATGTACGATAAAGGTTACAATTTGTTTCAGGTGAGTCAAGATTAGTAGAATTATATAGGTTAGCGCCAGAGGTACCTCGTGTACCTGCTTCCCCTTCTAATTTTTATTTCGCACTGTGTGCCTTCGTAACGACAAAGAAGCTCAGACTTTTGTCTCTGAATGAATTGAAGAAAAATGTCGGATGATGGTGGGGGGAAAATGGTATAGACTTCAGAATTCCAAGCTCTATCACTGTGCTAAACCTCGTTAAAAAGTCAGCGTTACAGCTGGGGACCTGTCACTGCCGAGGAGCCTTCGAACGCTCATCGAGGATTTACTGTTCTTCCTCGACGGAGAGTCGTGATGATACTTTTCCATTTAAAACATTACCGTTTTGGAATCAGAAAACCTTAGTGGATCATTTATCGGTACACCTACTCTTTTAAATGTACCATGATTTTACTGGGATATCTTAACAGAAAGCAGTTTCATACACGTTCCCGTATACCAAATTCATTGACGATTGACTATCGCGATTTCGATCGCGAAAAAAGTTTAATTACAACGCATGCCCATTGCCGTAACTAGGTAGGGGCCAGGGTGGGCCTGCCCCCCTCCCTTCAGAAATTATTGAAATATGTAAAAGAAAACAGTTGGTAAAATCTTATGTTATAAAAAGTAAATACCTGAGAAGAAATGCGCCAATGCACATCCCCGTATCATTGTCTCGCATATTATCCGATGGGGGACAAGGGTAATATTGAACGTAATTCTTGGAAACGGACAGTAGACGACACGGTGAACAACGCCGAAGCGATGGAACGTGTCCCTTCGTCGAGGCGCTCGCTCGTTTTTACAACTCAGCGTTTTTGATGTACAAGATTGGCGTTGATTGGATGCACCGTTACACACCAGAATGAGACAATATGAATTACGAGCAATTTTGCGAGGCAACCTTGTTCCCCCCGCGGGAAGGGGGAGGGGAGTTAGGACGAAGTAACGAGTTAAGTGGCGGATGTTCCACGGTCGACGACGGCTCTTCGACGTGTCGCCGATCCTTTCTTCCTTCCGTTAGGTTTTTTTCCCCCGTTCCGCGAGAGTCGTTGGTTTGACGCACAGACGAGTATGGTTTAATGTGTTTCACGTCGAAAATCGCGATTCATCGTTAGAAGGCTCTCATTAGTGAACTGTAATTGTTTTACTAACCAGAAGGAAGTAATTAATTTTAAACGTACCTTTTGGTATTCACGATTATCTACAGCTTTGAAAGTCCGTGGGTTTATAGAGTGATACGAGACAGGAATGACCGTATGTTTCATTCGTGTCCTATCGCTCTTTAAGGGTGTAAAAACGAACCTCGAAGTCGAAGGGTCTCTTAAAATACAAACGACAGGAAGAAGTATTTCCAATAAATGTTTAATGGCAGAGTAAGCGTTATAAACTTGTACTAAGAAGATCTTAAAAAATTGTTTAAAAAATGTTTTCATCGTGCATGTTAAGTGGGTGATAGCCCTCGAAGCTGAGGGATGAAATATGGGCCACTACGAACGCTATGGACAATAATATTGTGGTTAGAACCTTACAATCTAATCCATCTTATCCATTATCACTCACAATCTTGTTTCTAAAGCTTTCCACGCGTAACACTGCTTACACTAATCTTAAATTTAACAAACCCTAGAAAATGAACAAAAGGAAAAAACAATAAGTCATAGTGCCATAAACACTAAAGTATTCCACGCATACACAACCTGTTCGTAAAAAGTATGCAAGTTGTTCAATGTTTCCTTGTGAGTAGTAAATGTCAAGTTTTTCATTTCCAAAGAATATCCAAAATTGCTGTCCACTAGAAAATTATCGATCTAGTGTACCAAAGGCTTTCCTCACTTTTCCCAATGAATCAGTTCCTTGAGTTAGCCAGCTCACACTTTCCGTCAAAGGAAATAGAATTGGAGCACGTCTTTCAACGAGACAGAGTGCCCTTCAGTTTCAATAAACTCTCTCTCTCTCTTTCATTTGGGGCGTGTAGCACCCTCCGGGGAAGGGAAAGTTAACAACCAGGGTTCACGACGGCCACCGGCTCGCCGAAAAAGACACGAGTGGCAAGTGTAGCTTCCACCACCGAGATAGGGCGTCAGCCGAATCGCAAACAATGGCGTTCTCGTGGAACCGGAAACTCTGATAGCCACTTTTATTATACCTGTGATCCTCTGACTTCTCTTTAACACCTGCCCCTTGGAGATCAATCTCTCGACCGGGTCGAGGAACCTCGGTGTTGTGTCCCATCATTGATTTCAGGAATTTGGGGTCGAGGGAACATAAGTAGAGGAACAATGGGTGGCCCTGGACACTTTTAAATGAAACCCAAAAACAATTATTCAGGATGTCTCATTTCAGAGATATTCGAGTGGGTCGATTTAAATGGAATGCATCAAATAGATACAATTTGATTTCTTTATATCTTATTTCTTTTGAAGTACAACGTGGTATTGAAATAAAACATGCAATGACCTTGAAAAAATTCTTGACTTGAAAATAAGATATAAATTATCCATCCGATACGTCCTATAAAATGCTACATAATTCATTAAAACGTTTTCTGATACAACCAACAGGTAACGACTTCTTTTGGATAATAGTTCTTGATGACTCATCCTATATAACAAGGCGAATTCTTTTATCATACAAAAATTTAGTATTGTACTGACAGCGAAGGTGTGCTGACCATTGAATAGTCCGCTTGGCGCAGAACCTCTATCCGTCCGTTGTCCCTAATTTTAATTCAGAAACACACGAGGCCAAAAGTCATAAAGATTCCGTTATGTGCCGAGTGGAGTGGCAAATTCCGAATTGATATTCAAGAAATGACCACACACGGTAATTGCCAAATCGGCTCTCGTGAAGGATAATACAACCGTCAAGGACCATCGGTCTGACGCAACACTCCAAAGGACCCAATTTCTCTGCACGCTAACTCGGTCAAGGATATACCGTCGCGAACTTCCACGAAACAGGTACACCTAATGTAATCTTGTTCGATCTAAAATCCTTCGAATTACAAACAGGTCAACCACAGTTCACACCGAGTGACGTCACGCGAAAAGATTTGCATGTTCTTACGGTTGAGAAAGAAATTGCAAAAGACACGAAAAGATATTCTCGGAGAGAATTAATGAATCGTACGAACGAAAAGATTGTTTAGAAGAATGTAAGGAAACCTGTGGATTCACGCTATTTAAACCATCGGGGACAATAAAGACTATAGAGATGTATTATGGATTTTACTTTCTTATCACTATTTATCATTAGTTTTTACTTTCTTAACTCTAGTTATCACCAGTTTCACTTTCTTATCACTAGTTATCACTAGTTTTTACTTTCTTAACTCTAGTTATCACTAGTTTTTACTTTCTTATCACTAGTCTTACTTCGTGATCACTAGTTAATAATGCGCGGTGTCTTCATGTCAGGCATTGAACCGGCCAAGAACTTTGTCGGAATCGTACGTTTCACCGGCCCACGGTTCAACAGGGCTGATTTCATATGCGACTCGTACACCGGAATGCGATCCAAAGCGCGTCTCGCATGTATAATGGACCGTTGCGGCGCTGTTACGTAACGTTCGTGTACCATAGGTTTGTTCTTCACGCGAATGGTACATCGTCGGTAGCTAGAAATCGTCCATACACCCGTTAGAATTTTGATATTTACGAGCCGTGACAATAAAGTTTCGAGAATAATTAATCTAAAATCCCTTCGTTTCCCAAATTCACAAACTCGTTTCAGCTGATGAAAAGATCGAGAGAAACGTGGCAGAAATTCAAATTTCGCAGATGAATGCTTTTTCGAAAAATCTTGACGAGTTCCTATTTCACCGAACGAACCACCGGTTAACGGATCTATTATATCGGGAAAATCCGTAAACAACACAACGGTACGTCCCAATGATCTGGGCGTTTTATCGTTCGACTGTTCGTGTTTTCTTACCGGAAGTGCGGGATTGCAGATATCCGATGAATTTGCATAGATCGATAACGAACGAACGCGCGCACATGTCCCGTAATTAAGTCGCCAGGACCGCTGAACACGTTGTTACGCCATTCCTTTTTTGCGACTAGATCACTGATTTCGAAACCCACGGTCCCATGAAGACATTGCGGGCTGATTTCCAAGCGTTTCCACGATTTCTACCCGCGACCGACGACAAGTAAAATGGATTCAATAAATTCACTGGTGAGATCGGAGGGGGAAAAACTATCGCCTGGAAAATAGGTAATTGGAAAAACGGTAACCAATTAACGGACCGTGTCTATTTCGGACGTCTGATCTTTATTAGAATTTATAACGATTTGCACGAAGCGTCGAGAAATTTTGCCGTAGAATCGCAGTCGGTTGGATAGTCGTCACAACGAGTTTCGAATAATCCTTTTGCGTCGACTTAAAAGAGTCCTTAATGGACGAAGAGGAATTCGCAATTTATGGTACTTAGTAGCTTTACGATATCTCCGAACTGATCGTGAAGAAAATAAAAGAACAAAATATTCGTTCGTTTACAGAAGAGAAAATGAATTAATTTCTAATGTATCGATCATTTCCTGCAACAATAACGTAATTCATAATTTGCAGTTTTTGAGACGTTATCATAAGCGTCACACTAGCATAGCCCCTTAAAGGGTTAAGGCTACGTTTCGAAGAGGACACTTTATCCCCCCTCCATCGTTCCCCACCGACCGCAATATTTATATTAATCGAAGATTTTATCTCTTATTTACGATCCATTTCCGCGTAAGGCTGACCGGTAACGCCGGGGGTAACACGATTCCGCGGTGCATCCAGCGATGCGCACCAGGCCACGGTGCCCACTCCCGAGATCGTGTTTCACGTTGAAGAGGAAAATGTATCGCGAATATGGCGCGCTCCTGGCATAATATCCGCAATAAAACGATCCGAGGTTTCACTCCCAGAACCCAGCCGGAATGGAGTCGAGTACGCGCGTTGTTTATGCGCCCCGGAAATACAATGTGTTTGTAATCTGTGTTGAGAAACACGTA